ATCCACTTTTAATCAATGAATGTAAAAACTTAGTTGATCATATGAAAAAAGCAATGAAGATACTACCCATGGAAAAACTCACCTTGCAGAGCTCTAGAACTGGTGTGACGTGGTGGTTTCTCAGAATTATTTTTACTTTTCCATTCTCTGTTTTTTCCAAGTCCTGCATCAGAAAGAAGCCAATAAAAATTAAGCATCTAGCACTTGACATTCAATATGAATTACGATGATAGAAAAAAGTACATAACCTTAAGGAACTCTGGCGGTAATCCTGTTAGCTCAGACTGACTAAGAGTGAGAAAAGTTGTGTCATCATTCAGATTTCGTATATATTGCATACTCAGATCATCTATTTGAGTCCTTAGGCGCTGCAACTCTTCTCTCTTGGTTAAGGTAAGATTTAACCCATTCCGTTCAAATTCTATAACCTTCACTGAAATTAAAGCAATAAATTACCTAAACTAGGGGGGAGAGAAACACATCCGACCAACTTGTAAGGAAGACTTAATTAACCAGAGAGATTGGATGGTCTATCAGGGGAGTGACACGTAAGAAAGTGATGAAGAGTTTGAGAATGATATTTGAAGCCCATTTTGTTAAAGCATTTCAAGAATACAGAATACCGTAGCAATATGCTTATTTATATCTTCATACCAGAAATTGAGTAAATCTTTTGGCTTCAAAGCTCATTCTGTCTACTTTTGATGCCAGCGATTTCACAACTCGATAAACATCTTCACGTTTACTGTAGGGTCCACAAATATGCTAGAAATCAGAAGCCATTGTAAAGCAAAGACATATATATCCCTGAGGACAATTCCTTCATACTTCGTATATGAATGGACCGATCTAAATTCAGTAACTTAGAAATTATATATTTAAGCAATTCAACTTGACCTTTGCTTTTTATATATGGAAATGAGCAAAATGTAACAAAAAGGAGTGAAGAAAGCAAAACAGGTTATCAATGGTACAACCTGCAAAGTGAAACATGAACATCTATCTTTTTCTCTGCTTCAGCGCTAGCTTTTTTAACTTCTTCAGAAGTGGACATCCACTTTGAAAAGACACATGACTGAATCAGAGGAAATTGCTCTGCTTCCAGTTCTATCAATGGTAGAACTACATTTGCAAAACTGACCTACAATATCAAATACAAATATCAGCATTGGATCTATATCCCCTTCAATACAAACTATTACACTATGTTTAGTTCAAGGAACTTGAAAGGAAAACGGAAAGAAAATAAGATGGAAAACAATTTCTCTTGTTGGGTTAGAAAGGAAAAGAAAAGAAAAGTGAAAGGAAGAGAAAAGAAGAGTGAAAGGAAAAAGAAAGAGAAGACAAAGGGAACTAAGAGGAGGGAAAACAAAATTCCTCCCAATTTGGTGAGAAAAAACCATTTTCTTTTCTCATCCTTCCTAAGATAGTATATATGTATTCATACATGTTGTCCTTCTTAAATTCAAGCAACACTTTTATATCCTTAATAGTTATTAAAACATAGAGATATCACATAAAGTTTCCTAAAAGATACCCCAGGCAATCAGGCATGGAAGGAATATATATGACAATTTCCATCTTAACCCATCTTTCGAACATCACAGAAAAGTCCATTTGATTGCATTTTCTCAATGTTATTAACACATTGCAAATGGCCAATTCGAGATAAGTAAAAAACACCTTAAACAACTAAAAGAAAGAGGAATATGTGTAAAAAGAAAAACCTTGTCGAGAGGAACAGAAGCAACTGCGTCGTGAACCTGCTTGGATTTGGCAATTATTTTGTCTGCTAATCTCAGAATCTCCGGAGCAGATAGGTTCATTGGAAAATTTAGGCCCGGAAGATCTATACCTTAGCAAAAAGAGTATTTCCGATTCAATTCACAAACATATAAAGTTTCCCGATTGCTTCCGAGGAGAGCATCGATACATAGAAATGAACGAATAGTTCGACTATCATAAACTATAAGGAGAACCTGACTGAGGTAGTCGGAGATTACCTTTCCTCTTGCGGCTTCTTTTGTGAGAAGTGTACACAGTGACGGCGAAGTTGACGGCCACGGCGAGAAAGGCGGCGGCGCCGGTGAAAGCCAAGAGCTTCTGCTTGTGTCTATTCTGCTTCGACCCCATTCTCACCGCGCTTCGTCTTCCTCGAGCTGCAAAAATCCGAAACTTTATTTTCTCTCGGAAGTGTTCAAACTCTATATGGCGGTCTGGGAATGTGAACTCGGAAATGGCGGAATCGGGGGCCTTGATTGACCCTTTAACGGCTGACAAATCCTCCCAAACTTCACGAGCCGCCGTATTTAATTGGAATATCCGTTGTTAGGCCGCGGATTGTTCAATGGCCCGATGTTACGCGTATTGAGTTTATTATAAATATAAAATATATGATACAACAGCACAAAGGATCTGTGGCGCAATGGTAGCGCGTCTGACTCCAGATCAGAAGGTTGCGTGTTCGATTCACGTCAGGTTCACTTTTTGGTTCTTTTTAAGTTTTAATTTTCAACGCCTTTGTCCACCCTTAATCTTAAATTTTATATAAAAATTTTAAAATTTGTGGTAATGTATATTGAGAATCCTCCGATTTGCCAAACTAAAGAAACCTCTAATCTTAACGTCTAAATAGACGGAATGTATGCTCAGAATATAATAAAACGAACTTTAAAGATTCTAAGAATTCTTAATAGAAAATCTAGAGCACCACGAAATATTATTCTGATAATGTAAGACTTAGGAGTTAATCTAGAGCACTACGGAATATTATTATGTTATCTACACTTCTTCACTTTCAAACTATTTTAGACCCGATCATGTACAATTTGTTCGGTGATTAATTTACACCATCAAACTTAAATAAATTTTTTAAAGTTTTTTTTCTAGTTTTTTCAATTTTTCTAGTTTTTCCAGTTTCTTTCAATTCTTCCAGTTTTTTTTGATTTCCTCCAATTGATTCGAACATTCGGCTCTTTTTTTCAGTCCTAAAAAACATGCCCTTATTCTTTCTTTTACTCCCTCCGTCCCATTTTAAATTGCATGTTTGCCTTTTTTCTCCGTCCCAAAATAAATTGCCTGTTAGTTGTTTTCTTAAACTATTAAAAATAAAATACCTAAACTACCCTTAAAATAAGTCATTCTTTTTCACATTATCTTTTCATTCATCATTACCCCTCTTAAAAAGTAATGTCAATTTTGAAAAATCAACTCTATTTTTTATTTTCCTTAAATATGCCCAAAAGTCAAAACGGGCGATTTAAATTGGGACGGAGGGAGTAGTTTTCTATTTATAAAATAAAATGGTAGAGTGCAAAATTCAAACCTTACCTCTAAAACCTTTTTTCATTTTAGTTTTTATTTTTAAAAAAATAGTGAATGCAAGATTCAAACTAACTCAACACCTCACCAAACAATACTCAAACACTCTAGCCACCTGAACATAACTACTAGACACTATTTTGTAATTACAAAGACCATGTAAATCAATGTATATGATCTCTATGATATATGAGTTGTGCGACTGTTAAAAAAAATTTCTAACTATTTGTAAAGGAGATTTGTTTGTGCACTGCCCTTAGCTTCTATGAATTTTCAAAAATAATTCAAAGTAAAAGATAAACATTATGTATTTTCTTGTATTAAAATAATAATGTACTCTGCATAATTTATATCTAAATAAACATAATAATCTACAAAAATAATAATAATAAATATCTACTAATTATACTCTCTTCGTTCTATAATTATCTTTCTTCTTTTCTATTTGGGTTGTTCCAAAATTTTCTTTTTCTTTCCTTGTTTAGGAAACAAATATGTAGTCTATATCAATTCTTTTTCATCTACATAAGTTGCGCGCACCACATTCCACTTTATTAAAAATTGTATCTGATGGGAAATAATACGTGGCTCGGCCCATATTTCCCAATTATTTTACGAAGAACAGTCAAACCGGACCTGTTTAATAAAATGAGGGAATAAGAGAATATTCTCCGAATATGCTTCCCTCCACCCCTATAAAAGGAGGGCTCCCCCTCTAGGTGGGAGGGCCAACTTCACCCTCCATCCCTGCCCACAATACTCTCTCTCTAGATTTTTATATTTTTTGTTCTTTAAGAAGCTTCAAGCTTCCATTAATGGCTTCCGAGCCCAATTCTTGTACCGTGTACACACCCCCGATATTAATAAAAATCCTCTGTTGGCAAGGTACCGCCAAAAAAGGCCCGTGGTTTTCTCCCGATTTGGGTTTCCACGTAAAAATCCCCGTGTTTATATTTTGGTGTGTTTTTTAGACTAGTTTATCATTTTTACCGGTTAAAAACGATATACCGGTCGATAATTTACACCATCAGTATCAAATCTAACTCGGAAAATTATTACAGGACGAATGGAGTAATAAAATATAAAAAGTGTGAAAGAGTATATATGAACAAATGCACTGATCAACTGATTTTTCAACTCTAGTTAACATGTAACTCCCTCCGTCCTAGAATAATGTTCTATATTTCATTCTTCGTCTGTCCCAAAAAGTTACAGTTACTTTTATAAAAATTTTTTGTGTCTATTATAATTTCTCTCTCTATCCTGTACGCTACTTATTTACATGAATGACATGATTTCACATTTCTTATCGTGCCCGATCAATTGTGAAACATTATTGCGCGACAGAAGAAAAATTAACACAACTTTCTTAACAACTTTGTGCCAATTAACATACTTAGGACATATTTTTTTGGGCTGAAAAATTTAAGTTTCAAAGTTCGTCAACTTCTAATCTTTTCCAACTTTTTCTAATTTGTATTGAACTCTCAAATTCTAAAGCAAAAAAGGACCATTAGAACAAAATGAGTATTAACTCTACCCATTAGAAAACGGCCATTAATAATTCTCGGTGGTATTGTTGGGCTGTCGTTTCGCAGGAAGGCTCAGTTTAGTCTACAATTTTAGATTAAGGAAAGCTAAGAAGCCCTACGCATTGTACTCTGCAATAATAATGTGAAAACGAAGGGAAAGTTTGGGCGAGTCAAAAAAAGGCATCGAATGTAAAGAGAGAAAAGACAAAATCAAGAAAACCCAAGAATCAGAACCATCTCCCAAAGTCTGCAATAATAGTTTAGTCTACAATTTTAGATTAATGTACGTTGCTTTCAATTTCAACGTCTCCCCTTTCTTTCTTCTTCTCCCCAATTCCTTTTTTTTTCATCTGCCACCCTCGAAAAATCGAAACCTATTTATTTTTTCCTGTAAAATTCATACTTGTTCGCCTCCATCTGTGAAAAGTCTCTGGGAATTTGGTAATTTCTGCATCAATATATTGTTTATCTTGAGGAAAAGTAGGATCTTGGTGGCAAGGCTTTCGTTTCTGGCTTGTATTTTGATCTGGGTTGCTCATTTTAATCGTTATGAAGAGCTTTAAGTAAGAAAAGTTTCAAACTTTGAGCTTGGGGTTTGAAGAAAACATGGGATTTTGAGAGGGCATGGTTGTGAACTAGGGGTCTGGTTTGATTTTGACATTAGGTTTATTTGTCGAAGTTGTGTTTATATGAAAAAGGGGATTATTTAACCCCTACTTGCTTTGTTGATCATGGAGGCTCTCTTATTTTATTGTAGATGAATGGAATAAGGTTCGGGTTTTCTGCTCTCTTTGTTTATGATTATATCTCTGTTTTCCTGAGTTATGCTTGGTGGGTAAACCCGTAAAAGAGTAAATTGGGAGGTCTTTGATTACACTTTCAGCTGAGAATTTAGAAGTATGCTTTTGTGGTGGAGAGTAAAGTTGTTTTTGGTTTGAAATAATGATCAAAACGATATTTGGTAAGATCCCAAAGAAGCAGCCGAAGTCGGCTGGAAGCCATACCTCAGATTCAAATGCTTCAACAAGCTCAAAGAGAAGTGATGGGGGTCGTAAAAAGCAAGGTTCTGTTTCATCCAATACTGTTATTTCATCTCCATTTCCTCTCCCCAGTACCGGCAGTGGGGAAACATTTGTCCGAGAAGGGGTTTCAAAACCAAACAAAAACTCTCTTATTCCGGTGTACGAAGCTTTGCCGAGTTTCAGAGATGTTCCCTCTTCTGAGAAGCAGAGTTTGTTCATCAGAAAGCTGAACATGTGTTGCGTAGTCTTTCAATTCAGCGACCCGACAAAGAACATGAAAGAAAAAGAGATCAAAAGACAGACTTTACTAGAGCTCATGGAATACATCACTTCTGCCAATGTGAAGTTCACGGAAACGGTCATGCAAGAAGCTGTGAAAATGGTCTCTGCAAATCTCTTCAGAGAACTCAAACCACAACCGCGAGAGAACAAAGTGGAAGCCTTTGATGTTGAAGATGATGAGCCCGCCATGGACCCCGCGTGGCCACATCTACAGATAGTTTATGAACTTCTGTTACGGTTCGTTGCTTCGCCTGAAACAGATGCAAAGATTGCAAAGCGTTACATAGATCACTGGTTCGTCCTCAGGTTGCTTGATCTCTTTGACTCTGAAGATCCAAGAGAGAGGGAATATTTGAAAATCATAGTGCACAGAATCTATGGGAAGTTTATGGTGCACCGGCCTTGCATAAGGAAAGCTATAAACAACATATTTTACCGTTTCATTTTTGAGACTGAAAAACATAATGGGATCGCCGAGCTGTTGGAGATTCTGGGTAGCATTATAAATGGCTTTGCTTTGCCACTGAAAGAGGAACACAAACTTTTCCTTGTGAGGATGTTGATCCCATTGCATAAGCCGAAATGCTTGCCCATGTACCACCAGCAATTGTCTTATTGTGTTACACAGTTTGTGGAGAAAGATTGTAAGCTTGCCGATACGGTTATTAGGGGATTGTTGAAGTATTGGCCGGTCACCAATAGCTCAAAGGAAGTTATGTTTCTTGGTGAGTTGGAGGAAATCTTGGAAGCAACTCAGGCTGCAGAGTTTCAACGCTGTGTTGTGCCTTTATTTCGCCAAGTTGCTCGTTGCTTGAGTAGCATGCACTTTCAGGTATATGAATCATTTGGTTTGCATAATCTGCTGTTTCGGTCCATCTTTTTGGGTCTATTTGGAACACAATGGGACAAATAGAGAGGAAAGTGAAGAAAAAGAAATTTTAGGGGTATAAATTATAGATTCAGAGTTTCAAGCTTAATAACTTTATTTCAGAAATTTGTTTGAACTTATCATTTTTATTTTATAAAGGATTGGAAGTATGAATAAAGAATACATCCCATGTGGGGTTTTTCCTTAAGAATCATTCATATTTAGTTTTAATTTGAATTTTCTGAGGCAAAACCAAACACATGAAAATTACTTTTTGAAGCATTTCTTTTCCTTTTCCCTAGCAGTTTTCATGATCCAAGCATACCTTTCACGCTTGAACAGTTCTTTGATCTTTTGTTTGGTTCATTAGCAGTTTTTTTTAAATCATTTGGGAAGTGAGGAGACATGTAAAATTGGTATATTTGATATACTCCGTTCTTTTTAAGTATACCATTGTGACTGTTTTGATACATTTGAAAAATAATGAACGGAGACATAAACTATGCTCATATTCATTCAAATTTTGATGTATCACAAAGGTCATGACGGTGGCTTGAATGGAGGGAGTATTTGTTGCTGCAATTTGGAATGTATAATTTATATGTATGTCTATAATAATGCATAACACTAGGGTTCACAATACATTCTATCTGCTGCCTCTGAGAGATTTATCCTTAATCAGTCCTTTACTTCTTTGCCGCTTAATATATTTAAGGTGGCAGAATAAACTTCCAGTAGCTAATTTCATCGGCACATGACATTTTAATCAAAGTCAAAGGCTACTCATTTTAAGTTGGACAAACGGATTACCCGTAGTTGATACCAAACGGGGCCTTATTTGAGACAATCAATGTTCAAAATGATGCTTTAGCAAGACGTTTCTGAAGGTTGGTGGGCCTTATGAACTTAGTCTATGTTTGGCAGTAAAGAATAGAGTCGAAAAATAAGAGATGCAAAATGAATGGAAATGTGCCTAATTTACCATTCCACCCTTGTTGTGATATTGTAAATATATGTTACAAGGATAATATATCATTTTCATAATATCAAACCATTTTCACTCAAACATTGCTATATTTAATCTCTATATAGACTCTATTCGACTTCAACAAAGCAGCTTTTTTTCTCCCCTACTTTCTTTGTTCTCTTCTCTTTTCCCACCTACCCGGTACCCACAACTTTCTTATACCATATTTCTTCCCTTTTTCTATATGATAGCTTGAGAAGCTAGCGAAACGTATAGGTGTGGGGTTGAAATCATTATTCATGAATACACTAAACTTCTTGTATGATTTCCCAACAACCCAGTAAGGTTCTACCTAAAAAAGTGTATGATATGAAAAATTTTATTCTGATGACATCTTTGGTACAGGTTGCTGAGAGGGCACTGTTCTTATGGAACAACGATCACATCGAGAATCTAATAAAACAAAACAGAAAGGTGATCCTTCCCCTTCTCTTCCCTGCACTGGAGAAGAACGCAAGAAGCCATTGGAACCAAGCTGTCCATTGCCTTTCGCTCAACATTCGAAAGGTCTTCTATGATCTTGATCCAGATCTCTTTCAAGAGTGCTTGCACGATTTTGAGGAAGAAGAGTCAAAGGAAAATGATGTCCGGTCAATGCGCGCAGCCCGATGGAAACGCTTGGAAGAGCTCGCAATGGGAAATGCTGCGAGTCGCGAACCGGTTCTCGTGCCCCGGTTGCGGTCTTCTTGAACTTTTGGTTGTCTGTTCTTTCTTTGTTTCTTTCTTTCTTGAGAGCTTTTGGTTTTCAGTGAGGAGAAGAAGTTTGCAGTGGATGGGATGCATGTTGTTGAAAGGGAATTGAATAGCTTGTTTTCCTGTTCTTTTATCATCTTGGAATCTTGGAGGATGCTCTATCATGACGAAATTATTATCACTTGTGCAAATATTCTTTGCATGCTAAGATTGTGAAGAATGAGAAAGAATGAAATCTTTTGTCTTAATCCATCAATCATGTTTGTGTGTGTAGGATCAAGTGAGAATGTAATCTAACGAAAGAAATAAGAATGCATCATGTGTATTAGATGTAAGGTCTAAGTACTTGAAAAATTTGAAAAAATCTGAAAAAACGCAGTGGCATTATGGTAAATAAGTTACACTTACTCTCAGTGTAAAAAATACACTATCACAATATCACAATGTAAAAATGCATTGTGGCGGCATAAAAATGCACCGTTCTCGCAGTAAGAACATTCTCACTGGAATCAATCCACACACACACTTTAATTAGAGAAATTTGCTCTTATAACGCTCTCTTGAATGTACTCTGTCCAATGAAAAGTTTGAGTTTTGATTTAGGATATGTGATTGAAGTTATTTTTAATTCAATTTATGCTCCGTATGAAAATTGGCATAAAATTTAAAAAACAAAGTAAAATCACATATGGAGTATTTGATAAATACAACTTTCGTCTCAATTTATTTGTCTAGTTTGATTTTTTCAAGACAAATTAGATAAAATTAAATTACTCTTAGTTTGTATTGCATATTGGTATAATGAAATAAAATCTTGAAAATTTTCTTAACAAGATAAAGCTAATAAAATCATTTTTATATGAATAAACGTTACGATTTTTATTTAATTGAAATTCAATATTCCTTCCGTTTGAGTCAAAAAAGGGAAACTAGACAACCACACTAGTCATGAGAGAGTATTTCATAACTATATCAAATAATCGTACACTATACAATCAGATCGTTTAAGACTTTATTATAGTCAGCTTACCGGTGGGTTGGTTGTATGGTTGGTACATTCAAATTGTTCAAGATGGCCAAGGTGTGTAAATGGAATGGGTTGTGCCTCCACTTTGTCGGAGGATTAGCCAGTCCTCAAAATCCTGACATTTAGCCTCGAAATACAGTAAGGTATTTTTACACCAAAAATACAAAAAGTTACTCGAGGGCACCATCAATTTTATAGTAAAAATTCGTATGTCCCACATCATCTAAAAAATACTCTAGGGTATCTTCTATTTTCTGGTAAGAATTCATAGGTCTCACTTTATCTAAAATATACTCCGGAAGTTCTTAAATTTGTAGCAAAATACTCTGATGGTACATTCTTTAAAATTTGAAGGACCCCCCAAAGTATAATTCAGATAAAGTGGGACATGTTAGTTTTTGCCAAAAAATAGAAAGCACCTCTGAGTTTATTTCAAGTAACGTGAGACATGCGAGTTCTTACCAGAAAACCGAATGTACTCCGAAATAATTTTTTGCTAAAAAATATGCACATCAAGTTTACGAGATTGTTCCCTTGACATTTGTCTCTAATGTCATCCCATGACATAGATTTTAATTGTTCTCTATGGTGACCCGTTCAAAAATTTTATAGTTCTTATCTTCTAACTCCATCCTAAATCCTCCATGCACCCCAAAGTTGCTTCTCTCCACGCCAATTTGTAATAGCAACTGTTGTAAGATTCGACTTGAGAGGAGATGCAAGAGAGTTTACGAGGCAAGTATCATCAATTTTTAAATCCCTCTGCAAGTTTAAACCATACTTTTGGGTACATCTTTTTTTAATTTTATAAAATTAAGAAAGCAAAATTTATATTTATTCCGTACTATTCATTGACGAAAAGGAATGAGATGATATTTGTGAGGGTAAGAGGGACATTTCACACACAAAAGGTTTCCAAAAAGAAAATAAAAGAAAATTTATAGATGGTCGAAAAAAGAGAACAAAAAAACGTCAAGAATAAATAAGAAACCCTAAAAGCCATTGTGAATTGAATTTTCCTTTTCCATCTATCCTCTCCCTCTAGACTGTGAAGGCATGGTGAAGGTTTGGGATGCGAAGCGAAATTCTATGCCTCCGACCCTGGAAAGGGGGCCTCGATCCGGGTAATAGATTTGATTTCGCCCTTGATTTTGTATTTACGTTTTTCTTCTTCTTTATATCATCTGCCATTTGTTCTTCTCTGCGCTCGTAATTCGTTTTATAGCTTATTTGCTTTGTTTGATTTCATGCCTAACTGTGTATGATTTTGCACAAAGCATGTGTTTGTTGTACCTAATAAGACTGTAGTTTATGGTGTGTCTCACCTTCCCTATCTAAAAAGATAGCACAAATCCCATGTTTTTCTTCAAAATTACTCCGTATATATTACTCCCTCCGTCCCAAAAAAAAGGATGCCACAACTACTATTTTGGCCTCTCAATAGCTTTTTCTTGTTTTTTGATGTACTTTTGAGTGGTATAATCTTTACGTTTTATTTCTCTACCAATTTGTAAATAAAATGATTTTAAAAGAGATATATTTTGCATGCCCTTCGAAATGTGGCAAAGAATTTGGGACGGAGGGTGTAATACACAACGGTTCCTATGATATTGGGAATCAATGTCATGAGATACCCGAGTGCCCTACAGTGTCCATTTCAAAAAGTTGAGAGTACCTACACCTGACTCCCCCTATAAACCTTTCCACCTCGACCTCTACCCCTACCGGCCCCCACCCCCCTCCAATTGAACCTCACAGATTTAGTTGACGTTGTGGTCAAAATTTTGGCCAACGCCAACTAAATTTGTGGGGTGCAATTAGAAGGGTGGAGGGTCGGTTCGGGTCGCGGGCCTGGATGAGCATTTACTCTATTAATATGTCAAAAACTGAATTACATCCAACCACTATGCAAGCTTTATTATTTTTCTTTCCTTTTGGGTGTGTGAGTGTGTAATGCTTTTGTTGCTGACGTCCAAATTTGGTGTGACCAGGCTGAATTACCCAAAACCTGTGAAGAAGAAAACTGGCACAAATTGGTTCACTAAAAAAAGAAGTGTATACATCCCTTGCAGTAAGATGGGGAAAATGGGTATTTGGTTGCACCAACGTTCTCCCCCCTCAAAGCAACTAAGAAGCATGTACCAGCCGCGTAGAGACAAGAATCAATGCCGGGTTCAGGAAAAGGAATTAAGATTCAGAAATCCACCAGAGCCACAAGGTACAATGTTTTTCTTCATTTCTTCTTCTTCATTAATATATATATATATGATATGTGAGTCTATGTGTATACACGCACGCACGCACATGTAAAATGTGATTTGCGTGTTGTGAACATTTCACTTTTGCAAACAAAATAGATGATGCACGCGAGAAGAAAAAAGATTTGGACGACTCTATGAGTGACTCATCATCATCATCATCATCACAAGAAGAAGAAGAAGAAGACTCAAGAAAAGGACACGAGGAAGAATCGAAAGAGCATAAGAGTGAAGTAGAGCTGGAGTACGGCCCATGTAGTGAGGACGCTCCCTGTAGACTTTGCCGGGAACCGCCGGAGGACACCCCGTGTAGGGTATGCCTTCGGATGGGCTGCAACATTCTTGTCTGTCCCTTGTACTGGGGTAAGGTCCCTCCTTGGGTGACTAAAGTTGGAGAGGACTATCAGATTGCTTGTCGGCTATGCAATTGCATTGATGATCGGTGTGGGCACTATGGTATGAGACATGTTCGTCTTAAACGCCGTTCCTTCCGCAAAACAGCTTGATCGCCCGATGCTTGATCCATGATGATGCACTATTTATAACTACTCTCTATATTATTTTATAATTAAAATGAGAAGTGATGTGATTATTTTATTTTGTCAAATGTTTAACACAACCATCTAACGAAAGAAGATGTGATTTAACAATATGAATATTAATGTGGGAGCTTTTTGTGAGATGGAAGAGTACGTTACTTAAAGGTACGAATGCCATGGGCCCTTCAACACGGGTTAACGGAGACTTGATGATGGGTCACCCTACCCGCCGGCAAGCTGTGAATATAATTGGTACATTCAGATTGTTCGAGACGACCAAGGTGTGGGAATGAAATGGGTTGTGCTTCTCCTTTGTTGGAGGATTAGCCCGTCCTCGGAATCGTGGCCTTCAGCGAATCCTTGCACAAAATTCTTAGAAATTTTGTTAATATTTTGTGGGTGTTTCTTTGTCCTTATAAACTGGTAAAAAATGTTTATAAGTAATTTTTTATTTATAAGTTAGTTGATGACTTTTATATGTATATATATGTATGTGTATGTGTATGTGTGTGTGTGTGTGTGTATATATATATATATGTGTGTGTGTGTGTGTATATATATATATATATATATATATATATATATAAGCATAAAATTAAAAAAAAGAAAAATTACATATGGAGTATTTGATAAATACTATTTTTGTCTTAATGTATTTATCTAGTTTGCTTTTTTTAAATAAGTTAGATAAACTTTATTTACTCTTAATTTGTATTGGATGTTGGTATAACTAAATAAAATTTTAAAATTCTTAAGAAGATAAATCTAAAAAAGTCATTTTTATATAAATATACATTATGTTTTTTATTGAAATTCAATAGTTCATGAGTTTGATTAAAAAAAAGGCAAACTAGACAAGTGCACTAGCAATGTGAGGGTATTTCATAACTATATCAAATAATCATATTCTATACATTCAGATCATTCTAGCTTGATTAGAGTACCGGTGGATTGTCTATATGGTTGGTACATTCACATTGTTTAAGATGACCAAGGTGTGTGAATGGAATGGGTTGTGCCTCTCCTTTGCTGAAGGATTAACTAGTCCTCAAAATCCTGACCCTCAGCCTCGAAATACAAGGGGTTTTTACACCAAAAATACAAAAAATTACTCAAGGGCACCCTCAATTTTACAGTAAAGTTTGTATGTTCCACATCATCTAAAATATATCTCAAGATACCTTCTATTTTTTTAGTAAAATCTCATAGATCTCGCATTATCTAAAATATGCTCTGGAAGTTTTTAAATTGGGTGGGGTTTCTATGACATTGGGTTCCAATGCCATGGGATGACCCGGGGGTGCTCCGGTGCCCCGTTCGTAAAATTGACGGTTCCTACCCCCCTAACCCCCCCGGTAAACCCTCCACCCCAGCCCCGACCCGAACACACCCCCTACCCCCGTCAATTGTACCCCACAAGTTGATTTTGACTTTGGAGTTTACCGGGGGGTTAGGGGGGGTAAGAAGCGTCAATTTTACGAACGGGACACCGGAGCACCCCCGGGTCATCCCATGACATTGGAACCCAATGTCATGGGAACCTTGGTGTTTTAAATTTGTGGTAAAATACCCCGAGGGTACATTCTTTAAAATTTAAAAGACCCAGAGTATAATTCAAATAAAGTGAGACATGTGAGTTCTTATCGAAATATACAAGATACCTCGGAGTATATTTCAGATAACGTGAGAAATGCGAATTCTTACAAGAAAATTGAATGTACTCCAAAATAATTTTTTGCCAAAAAAATATGAGTATCAAGTTTACGAGATTGTTTTCTTGACATTTGCCTCAAGTGTCATCACATGACATATATTTCAATTGTGCTAAAAATTTAATAGTTCTTACCTTCTAACTCCATCCTACATCCTCTCTCACCCCAAAGCTCTTCTTTTCCACGACAATTTGTAATAACAACTATTGTAAGAAATCGACTTAGGAGGAGATGCAAGACAGTTTATGAGTCAAGAATCATCAATTTTTTAACTCTCACGTTTAAATTATACTTCCGAGTATATATTTTTTTATTTTTATAAAATTAAGAAAGTAAATTTTATATTTATTCCATATTATTTATGTACAAAAAAAGAATGAAATGTTATTTGTGAGGGTAAGGGCGACATTTCACATACAAAAGGTTTCCAAAAAGAAAATAAAAGAAAATTCATGGATGGACGAATAAAGAGAACAAAAAAAATTGAGTAAATTCCACAATTGGTCCTTTATAATAGGGTGGTTTCCATATTTAGTTCTCTTTTATCAAATATTACCCCTGTAGTCCTTTTTTTAAGGGTACCTTTCTATAA